TGCTGTGTTCACATTGGAAAATGTCGATCAAATTGATAATCACGGAAATGTCCCCAGAACATGCAGAGTATATTATACCACAGCCAATGCCCAATTATTAATGGACAAAAGGCTAATCTCAATGTTTTGAACATATTCGAAGCAACGGGTAAATATAGTTTCTGACAAAAATTGATTATATTTTTTTAACGAGTTGAGCAACAGTCCAATCAGCATGCACGGTAATTGCAATTCGCCCAAACAACAACACGTGTTTTAATGAACAAGCACATAAAACTATGGTAACAAAGAGTCAAAGGAGAAGAGACCAAAAAAAAAAACTTTCAGAGCTAAATTATTTTATACAAAAATATATGTTAAAGACAAGTTGCATAAAAAAGTTTGAAAGATTTTTAAAAGTAAGTTTAGAAAGAAACCCGAAATGCGTTTAGGCTTTTTGAATAATTATATTTGGCCTTAAAAATGCTGCTTAAGATTAAGATGAGACATGTTTGCAACTCGTGTTAAAAACCGGAGGTAATAATATAAGTTTTGCACTCACGTTACTTACTACGAAATTATTATACGTGAACTATATTAAATATGCCATATTGGGACGAGGAGAATTACATTGTGTACTAGAAAATGGCTGCACAAACTATTCAACCTGATACTTCGTCACATAAACAATTTAACCTCATCACCAATCCAGATACAATTGTGGAAACTAAAACTGCATTTGTCCTGAAAAGTACGGAACGTTTTCTACATTGTATAATAATTGTTAAAAAATGTTTAAATAGAAAGTGTTGGTAAATAGAAAATATTTTTAAAAAACAACAAATTTTGCATTGCCGCATGGACCATTTCAGTGTTCCCTTTGTGATTTACAAATTGATGAAAGGCTCGTAAGAAATCACCTGAAAAACCCCGGTACAAAACAATCCAAAATTGGGAGACATAATAATGAAGCAAAAACCCTAAAAGTGTCTTCAAAGTAATTTATCCTATGCATACGCAAATTCATACGTTTTACATAATACAGTGGGTTTTTTTAAAACGGCAGTATATTCTTATTTTTTGGCGGACAACAGATTGCTTTGATAGCATGGACGATCACGAAACCAAAACAGAAAACCACCAAGAAGCTCAAAGGAGTAAATCCTTTGTGCGCTATTGAACGACAGGCAGATCCAAGATGTCCTGCGATCCAAGACGGTAGGCCAAAGCTTAAAGTAAAGCCGTTAATGAACTCCGAAAACTTCATCAATATATCAGCCAAGGATCCCGGTTCTAAACCGTATGCTGTGCAACCAATGGCAGGGGCAGCAAGCTTAACCCGGCTCAGCCCAGCCCACCCGAAGCCAGCACAGCCAGCCCAACCCCACCCAGCCAAGCCAACCTTGCAAAGCCCAGCCTAGCCCAGCACATCCTAGACAAGCCCATCTCAACCCAGAACATCCAGCCTAGCCCAGCACAGCCCAGTACAGCCCTCATGCCCACCCGCACAGCCAACCTATGCCAAATCTATCCTAGCCCAGCACATACTGGACCAACCCAAATCTCAACCCAGTGCATCCAGCCTTGTCCAGCACAACAATTTTAATGTTACGGGTGACCAGTGAAAAAAAGCCTGTCTACCTTTTTGCACGGTACGGATCATGAACACTGGCTACGCTGCTAAGTTATAAAAGGGAATTTTTATCATGTATGGGATCAATAAACCACCGTATATTCAGCAAAAACGCTTCTACTACTTACTGTTTATAAATCAAGGAGGCAGGCAGAATGATTGCGAAAGTTATAAGCCCATGGGCATATATCTGCTAGTTAAAAAAAAAAGATTATTATGAAGAGACTCTGCTAGGTGGTTCTAGATTTGCGATCTTTACTCACTACACTAGCGATTTCATCAAATATTTTCAAAAAGAAAGTTAGCCTTTGAAAATAAGGAGAGATATTAAAATATATACATCTCCAGGACGCAAAAGCAGCATATCCAGCTGTTGATGTCAAGTGGGGGCAACCGCACATCCGCGCCATAATGTAGACATGTTTTTTTCTCCGGACACTTGCCCTCCGTAAAATCAAAGAGCGGGGAAGGGGGGGGGGCGGTTGGTACCAATATGCCAAATGGGGGCGCTCTTCAAAACTGACCATTATTATGTATACTATATTATCATATGGACATTTTCACGGCGCATTGTATTGGTTGTTGTTTGTTTTTTGTATATTTGTTTTTATTTCCGGTGACACATGAAAATCCGACTCCTATGAAAATCGGACCCCTTTTTCCCTTTTATTGGATCATCCCTCGCACGTGACAGGTCACTCTCCCCAAACGATCCTAAAAATAGCATAGTATTGTACTCACGCGTGCGCACTACTACCAATGAGTCCACATTTCATGGAGTCGGATATTCACGCTACACCGGACCCATCCTTTTTGGAATAGAAACAGTTTGTATTCAACAACTCTAGGGCACTGGTGTTCACATGTTTCGTTTTCAAAACAATTTTCACATAAATCTGCCTTCGTTTAATAATGAAGTACGTCCTGCTTACCGTTCAAAGCGGCAGTAGCAATGAATTCATAAAAGTCCGTCCCTGCATGCAGGTGTGAATGCAGCGTCTGATTGACATGAAATGTACACACTGCAACGGCTCAACCGATCTATGTACAATGTACATCATTAGGGTACTGCAACTAAATGCGCTTGAAATGTCACCCACAATGTAACCTCGTCCCCGCGGCGATCGAGCGAGGAATACAAGCTCCTGAAAAGATGTAGTTGAAGCTTGGGAACGAGGTTGCCAACGCTGCGCCATTGCGTACGTTGGGGGAAAACCCGGGATGAGGAATGAGCTGGTGAAGAATCTTTGGAATTGATGGGTCAATTACAGCACAGCAGGTCAAAGGATAATGTGTTCGACATGTTTGTTGTGTTCCTGTTGTATTTTTTACTGAGCGTTGTTACTGCGGTATAAAGCCCCTAAAGTACGGAGCCCCTAAAAAGACATTCAAAAATTCAAAAAAAAATTCTCGTGCTTATCTCGTGCGCACTAAACAATTGTTTCTGTTTTTGAATTGCCCTTTAGGGGCTCCGTACCGTACTGTGCTGTGGGGCGCTTTGTAAATTCTTTCGGTGCACTGGCAAGAGGACTAAAATCATGGCCATTCGGTCATTTAAAGGATTAAACCTCCACCAATGGGCGTGCTCAACAAAATTACAATCTTAGCCTTCACATAATTATCCCAAACATGAAATAGATCAGCTTTTGGGTAAAATATAATACTTGGATTCAGATCATCTTCAGAATGGAATGTTTAAAATCAAGGCAAACAAAACACGCAAAAATTGTTTCAACGTGTGACAATTTATTTCTATTTAAGCAAGCCAGTGGAAGAGTCACAGTGCACGTGATTTCATTTATGCCTATACAAGCTGATTTACCCGATCATAGATCGGGTAGATCGTAGTGTTGGGGATGAACATTTGGGGAGTTAAATGTAAATGGGGATAAATACTACGCAGTGTAGACTTTCGATTGGTCAGACCGCGCCAGGCATACTAATGTATAGTCCTTCTGAGCATTCGTTGCACTCGGCGCAGGGGCGGCAAGCAAAGCACAGGAAACAATAGGGACACTTGATGGCAACGCACCATGGAGAAAAAATATTTTGCCAAGGTCACCCCATGCTACCGTTTGGTGAACTCTTTTGCAGAACGGCCGAGTAGAACACGAAAACGAAACCCCTACGTTGACCTCGCTGACCTCGCCAGTCTAGACACGAAGAAAAAGCGAGCACAGGGGGCGGACAGACAGTCAACGTGAAAGCGCACACGACGGCAAATTCCTGCGCAAAACGCAGTCACGAAAAATCGACGAAACGGATCGCCGGTCCGTACGGGAAAATCAGGACGACCCGAAGTGTCCGACCTGGCGGAAGACACCCTCCGCATTTTTCCACGGACGTGGAGTGATTTTGGCGCCGCGGGAGCCCGCGGTCTGGGATTCTTTCATGAGCAAACATCGTCTCGGAGGCCCAGTTAAACTCTCTCTTATATATATATAGATTCCACTAAAAGGAGAGATGTTTTTGGCGACAGGGGGTCGAAACTGTTGGAATCATTCTTGAGTCCGAATAAAAATTTTAGGGCCTAATTCCCAAGAGCAATTATCTTCAGACGTAAAGTAAATTAATTGAAACAAGGGGAATGACTTATTTTCAGTTTTCAAAAATTTTAGATTTTTATTTTCTGGTTATTTTAGTCTTAAATAACTTGCAAGTACTGACTTTGTAATCTGGTTTAGAATCAAAAGACAAGGTAACTGATAGATACCATGGGATTCTTCACGATCTTCGAATGATGATGATCTACCAACTGGAAAGAAGTATGTAATCCCCGAATTAAGGTCGTATAGATCCCTAATAACTCTAGTCCAAATGTTGTCTACTTAGTAAAGGTTTCACATGTACTAGCTGATTTCAACAATAGTGTGATTTTTCCTAATTCATTTCACATATTGGCTGTAACATCATTAAAGGAAGTTAAACTCGAGTTGTCTCGCGAGATGTTTTGTAAATAACCATTGTAGATTAGTAATAAGATGGATTCACAGTTTTGCACACCCTTTAACTACTTGTCAAGTATTTCCGCAATGAGTGATAATTTCGATAATTGTCTGGCGAGGTGACTGGTGAATTTCGATTGAAGCATTATTTGGTTTCGTAGATTCCCACATCACTTGCGGCCAAAGAGATAACCGGACACAGCACCGATGGCTCCCGACGCGGCGTAGCCAGCAGCACCCAAGCCTGCTGCTCCTACGGACTGAAGCGTAGCCACTACTCCTCCGGCTGCTACACCGCCACCGGCTGCCACGGCCGATTGAGACATCATGGAGGCAGCCACTGAGCCGGCTGCTATCCCTGCTGACTTGAACCCCAGTAAGGCCGGACCGTAGGTCATGATGCCTAGACTGGCTGCTCCAACGACTAACGCTGTGATGATCACCATGATGTCTGCTGCAAGCACCATGAGAGAGAATAATTTTATTAATTTTAAAAATTTGTAAGAAAAATACCGATTATTGTAATCCTTGCAGCCTAGCCCAAGGAAAGTTGCAGCCTTGTTGGCCTATGGTGCCGCGCTTGCATCATCGATGTGCATTCGAATTCAGGAAATGGAATCAGACCTAATGCAATGTCGAACCTAATTTCAGAGGGTGATAATAAGCCAGTTCGGTATTCCAACTGCGCATGTGCACATCGACTTCAAGATTTGACGATTTTTCATTCGGGATAAACATTTCATCGTATGCGTGGAAAAGCATAGCGGGGTAACAGCAAAATTGAAGAGATCATCATCGTGTTCTGAAGTAACATTTTGTAAAAAAAAAACCGTTTGAACAACGAAGTGTAAGTGTCTTGTGTGTCCAAACTTTTTTTGCGAACGAAATTTCCATCTCTTTTTACGGAAGACGGATAGTGCCACTCAATAAGTCTGAATATATTTTTTTGTACGTGTGAAAATATTTTTTTTGTACAGCGGCCGCCACTTATTATCCTAGCCCAGCACCCACTGGACCAACCCAAATCTCAACCCAGAACATCCAGCCTTGTCCAGCACAACCATTTTAATGTTACGGGTGACCAGTGAAAAAAAGCCTGTCTACCTTTTTGCACGGTACGGATGAGAACACCGTGGCTACGCTGCTTAGTTATAAAAGGGAACTTGGATCATGTTTGGAATTGATAAACCAAAGTATATTGAGCAAAAACACTTTTACTACTTACTGTTTATAAATCAAACTGTTTTCGGTGTCCCTCTTGACTTCAGGTTCTCTGGTAGGCAGGCAGGATGATTGCGAAAGTTATAAGCCCATATAGCTGCATGGTTAAAAAAAAATGATTAACATGAAGAGACTCTGCTAGGAGGTTCTATATTTGCGATCTTTACTTGCTACACTGGCGATTTCACGACGTGTGACAATATGTTTTTGTACAGCGGCTGCCTCTTATTATGTGGCGGCCGCCACATAATAAGTGGCGGCCGCTGTAGACAAAAAAATATTTTCACACGTACAAACAAATGTATGCAGACTTATTGAGTGGCATATATCCGTCTTCGGTATCTTTTCGATTGCACGGAAAATTACACAGAATGCAGATTCGTTTGAGGATAGTATGGCGGTCTGACAATAATATCGACCAGTACGAGACTCGCGTCGTTCAAGAGGAGACTACTTTATAACGACAGGCAGCCCCCCCCCCAGCGGCCCCCCCCCCCCCCCCCCCCCAATGAAAAATTCCTGGCTACGCCACTGACGACAGGGGCAGTCGTGCTCAGCCCAGGTCTTCTGTGATTCTTTTTCAATTTTCTTTGGGTGTGGCTGTGACGGTAAATCGAGTCTTCCTTGCGATAAGAAGTCTACAACTCAACGTTAAAGCTTACCTCTGTTGTTGCTGCGGGTTTATGCGCTCTTCTGTTTTCCTGCTCGTGGTTTTCAGAGTCAATTTACGAGTCAGCCTAATAGACTGTGCGATTGTCCGATCAATCCCAGACCGTACCACCTAGCGTGTGATTTCACCACGCTGGATTTCCCCAATGATTACGGTATCTCCCATATATAGCAAATATTTATTTTTTATATATGTGCAAGCGCGACTGACTCGACTGCGTTTGATTTAACTCTCACGTGACTTCTCGTGCTTACTACTAGTACTCGAGCCTGACCCAACACAGTATCGCCCACTGATCTCTGTTATACTGACAGTATAATCACGGTGTAGAAGATCCGTGGTATAATAGAGATCAGTGTAACCGACTCGCGCGCTGAGCTAGTCTGGTTCCCAGTGTCACCTGATCAAAATATTTACTATTTCTGACTCATCATAGGTCAGGTAGCCCCATCAATGGCTTACTCCAAAAAATGTCCGAAGGTTTACCGAATGCCTTCATGAGCTTGGCGGACGGATTGTTGGCCTATTAACTGGGGTGTACCCTTATTGCTATTGCGCATGTGCACTTATACCCAAGACGAAAGTACGGGCAAGCGCGGGGGAAGTAATCGAACGCATTCTTTTGTGCAGGTTTAAAGGGCTCATACATGAAATGTATTATTTTTTTTAATGCAATCCTTGAAAATACACGTTTGTGTCCCATTTAACTTTATTGTCAAGTTTTATTTTGCCGTTTTTAAGAGTATTTTGTTGCTTTGGGGGTTTTTTATGCTAATGCGAATCAAATCTGCTCTCAGATGGAAGCCCCAAAACCAGGGAGTTGATCCTCAGCTATATTTACACAATTCCACCTTTTTTAAAGCCAAACAGTCTCCTTTTTTTAAAAGAAATTGTGGGGTCCCTTTATGCTAATCAGCTGGCGTAGAAATTCTCGCTTGAATTAGTTCACTGCTCCCGCATGGTATTTTTATCTGCGTGCAATGAACATGGCAGCGCGCACAGTCTGGAAACCGTGAGTTGAGAGTTCAATTTTTTTTCTATCCAAAACGACTGAAATTTCTTAATAAACTTCATGAATAACACCTCTTTACGCCGAGACAATTGTTAATTTGTTAAGAGCGAGCTGATACTTATTATCACCATGGAGCTCATTTTTATAGCTCTATAATGGACTAGTTTTATGTGTTTCCAGGTGGATTCCGGCCTACCTACGGGAATACTAGTGGGCCGTGTTGTTGGGTACCGTATACGGACTGCAGCTGAATTCGGCCTTCACTGAACTGGACATTTGTTATGTGTTTTTATTGAATTGAAAATCAAAATTTTTCGATCGAAAATCGAGATGGGTGGGTGGATCAAAAAATTCGAAAACAAGACAAAATTTAAAAACATCGCAAATTTTGGATGGTCCCTAACGGTATAGTTCATGTAAAAAAAATACTGTCAGAGTCTTTTATGTCGAACACTATGTGTTTGACCTCGATATATGTATATATTTTTTGTCAACGCCTGAAAATAAATGTGACCGACTGATAATATTGTGGAAGCACAGGTTGTGCATGATAAATGAACTTCAAGCAAAGGGCCGGCGCCAGTGTAGCTACTACAACTGCTGTGGGGAAATCCGACCTTACGCAAGGGGGACGGGGATTCCCCATGTGTCCGTAAATAGATCGCCCCGCTGTTATGATGCAAATAGCTCCGTGTAGTGTACATCTCATTATTGGTCGTCCTCTGTACGCTGCATGTGGAAATAATCACACACAAGTACGGTCTTCATTAAGAGTGCAATGCCGTCTGTCATTAATTACATCTATTGTGCGTTATTTGGAAGTTATATCATAATCCAGGCCATTGAAAGAGTATACCAGCTCATATCGCTCATTATAGAAAGAATGGAAACCCCCAAAATATCGAAAACCTTTGAAATTAAAAAAACAATTTTATTCCTTAAAATAAAAAAAATAAAAAGAACATCTTTTGACAAAAATATTGAGAAATTACATGATATCACATGTCCAACAGCAAATTAAATTTCATTAAACTGAACTTAAGGAGACTGTTATGTTAAAGTTGCATCTCTTAAAAAAAATCGGAACACGTAAAAAATATACAACTTGGTTGGTCAGAGAATTATATCAGAAATATTAGCATTACCTAAAACAGATACATGCAAATCTTTAGCACTTATCAGGGAGACATACAACCAATCAGATTGATCGTCAGTTAGCAAAAAAAAGTAGCTCACTAAAACTTTGTGTGGCTTTACTTAAAAGTCCCATCATTCACTTACAAAAAGTCAAATGACTGAATAAAGACCACGAAGTACACACTCCTGCTTTTCTTTTCTTTGTTGTCTTGGGTTTTGTTTTTTTGTTTTGTTTGTGAAATTAAAGATGTAATATTGTGTTCATTACATTTGAGAAACATAATGGTGTAAAGCATAGCTGCAGACAGTCCTCCATGGTAACACGATTAAAATGGTAACAGCAAAATTTCAAACAGATTTATCTGGAAAATGCAAAAATCTATGGGCCTTGAAGAGCCTTGACTCAAAATTGCAAGGCAATGATCCATCAAGGCCAAGGCCAGGGCCAAGGCAATGGGCGTCGCGAGGGGGGGGGGCAAGGGGGCACTTGCCCCCCCCCCCCCGGAAAAGCAAAAAAAAAAAAAAAAAAAAGAAAAAAAAGAAGAAAAAAAAAAAAGAGGCGCGAAGACAAAGTGGTGTAAATTTAACGAGTTGGGGGGGGGGGCAAAATGTCCCTGCCCCCCTCTAAAACTGATAAATCGAGAATATGTTGAGAAATACAAGCATTTTTTGGCAAAAATATTTTTTGCCCCCCTCTAGAAAAAATCCTGGCGACGCCCATGGCCAAGGCTTTTGCCCTCAAGCCTTGAGGCCAAGGCCAAGGCCCTAAAGTCCAGCCTTAAGGCAGCCTTAAGGCCAAGGCCCAGCATCAGGGCACTACATCACTGGTTTAGCTACAACACAGCAAACAAATCTTATACATTTAAAAGTTTCAAATAAACTACAAAAGGAAAATAGCTAGGTGCATTATAATAATGTTTAAAAGTTCAACAAAGAAATTGACTATAGACCTCCGGATTGCTATTCCGGTGATATTTCCAAGGTTTGCATCAAGACCTTGAGCGTGATCTCCACAGAGCATATACGGGTTTATGACTTCTGACTAGCGCCCCTTGAACAACATGGGGAATATTGACAAATTGAGGAACTGCTAACAAAGGGCTGGAAACCTCAGTTGGTAGAGCACTGAAACGGCAATCTGGAGGTCGCAGGTTCGAACTCCGCTCCAGTCAATTTCTTTGTTCAACTTTTACCAATCTCAAAGTTATTACTTCGTGTATTAAAAATGTAATGGCATACGTTCAGTAGGCACACAATAATTTCAAAATAAAGTATTTAATTACGTCATTACAGTCTTGGCCCTTAATGAAATCACACGGAACTATCAAACTTTTGTCTCGACTCGGAAAGCAGACTTTCAATTAAATTCCCACGTCCAATAATAACTATCTTCGTGAATAAACAAATACATCTACTTCTGCTCTTTGTCACCATGAAAATCACACATTCATTAGTCTTGTTACACCTTTCTTTATCGGCAAATGAATTTATCGTTCATACATCAGCACTGCTAAACGGATACATTTTCATCTCTACAGTGAAACCAGGAAAATGGAAAGTTTTATAACAAGTAAAACTCAATCTTAAAAGTCAGTTAACGTTGCCCGAGTACTCGGTCTTCCTCCATTCACATGTCAAATCAATTATTTCACCTTGCACCACCGACCAAAGCTCTTACAGTTGTTAAAAGCCAGTGAGTATTTGTAGGTTTCATCACCGATCTTAGATCTAGCCCTCTTAATGACTTCGTCAGGTGGGTAGCATTCCTTATCATACTCAAGCCTGTACACGGGTTGTGAAAAATCAACTAGCTCTTCCACTACACCATTTTGGTAGGTGTTATGTACCACCCTGACCTTACCCTTAAGTGGGTCACAATCCACAACTATGGCATGGTGTCTGGGATGGAGAAGATTGCCAAAGAAGACAACCTGATCGCCTGGATTCAGGTCGCGAATGTTCTTCACCGCTCTGTCATTAGTCCCGATGGTTATAGCTAGTGCACGACCAATCGGGGATCCCACGGAAACCCCAATGTACCTACCGAGCGTTGACCCGATCACACCTCCGACAATACTCCCAATGAAAGCCCCGACAGCCGTTCCTAGACCCGGCATAATGAATGTTCCGGCCGCTGCACCTGCCGAAAATCCAACCGATTCCCCTGCAATGCCTCCCCCAACTGCTAGCCCAGCGCCAAGCACCGCCTCAGAAACACGACTGAAAGCACTGGATATGAAGTCTTGCCGTGATAAGTCGCCCCTGTTCCGGTTTTTATAAATCTGGTCGAGATCATACACGCAAGCGCAGCCATCAAAGACAAGAATGATACCAGCGCCAACGGCATTGGTGCCATGTGAAAGCCTCTCAAATGTCTCAGCAACAACTACTTTCTTCGCAGCCGCCTCCGTTCCTTGCTCAAGAAATGCTTTTGCGCCATCTTTGGCGTACTCTCTAGCCACGATGAATCCGGCTTTACCAAAAACGCTCGCCAGGGCTCCCTTCACGACCGATTTGATCTTTTGATACAGCCAGACAACCTGCCAACTTTCTGCAAGCCCGGTCTTACAATATGACGCAAATGCTTCACAATTATCACTGAACACTCCGTAACCAGTGTCATCTAACCTAGATCTAGCCCGAGCAATGACCAACTCAGGCGTGTTAACCTCAGTTATCTTCTTTTCGTAGTCAATGCGATACAATTCCCCCTCTTCTTGGCTTAGCTCAAGCCATTTTTCTATGATCTTTATCACACCACAACCCGACTTGCACCACTGAATGACCTTAACGCGCCCTCCCACTCCATCAATTTCTGACACGATGGCATGATGCCAGTAGCCCCAATGGCGACGCCAAGTGATGTGATCTCCCACCTTCAGGTAATCGCACACGAACTTAAAATTTTCGATTTTGGTGCGACTACCTTTTACCTGGAATGCAGGGTTGCTCTCAGTGGGTACTTCAAGTTGTTTCTTGAGGAGGACACCACGCAGTTTCACCGAGGGGCGGGTGTTATCTTCGTCTGGATGAAACAAGAATCGCCCTTCCAGCCACTCTTGACCGCAGTTAGTACAACAGATGCCGAGAAGTCGAGAACCTCCGTCTTCCCCCTTGCTGTAGTAAGGCCGGTACTTCAGAGGTTTGTTATTGTCACAGTGGCATTTAGGATGTTTCTGATGAGGTGCTGTGCGTGTTGAAAAAATCAAACAATGCTTCTGAATGTATGTTGTATTTAAGATTATACAGCCTAATAAAAACGTGTTCCTGATAAAAAAAAAATAAAAAAAAAATCTGTCTCCCTCTGCAAGTTGTAACAAATTGGCGTTTTTTCCCCCTAAAAAAATAAATTTCTAAATAAGACGTAAACCGTTTGGGAAAGCTAATGTGATGTTTAATTGGATTGGCTACTTAGTGGGCACCTCACCTAGGATTCGCCTATTGGTTTCGAAGCCCGGCGCAGTCTTGCCAAACAAATGAACATTTTCCAATCCTTTTTGGAGGTAATCTGTGTCTTACCAAGCTCTCTAGCAAGATCGTCACGCCCTATAGCGATGAGTGCTGTAGCCAAGTACTCTACCGGGTTATCACCGGTAAAGCTCTGCCTCCATGCCGCAATCATCTGACCTGCTTGCTCCTTGGTCGTAGGGAATGCTGCTTGGATATGTTGACACTGCTCGACGTCAAACGAAAGATACAGCGCTAACTGTGGCCACTCTTCGTCCACACTCTTCGCTACTTTCTGGAGTGTTGGAGTTTCCAGAATTTCCTCACCTGATTAATCAAAATTATAAAAAAATACATGCTCAGTGAACAAGTGCGACTGACGAGGTGGGTTTGTGCATCATGCAATTTGGCATTTTTTTACCGGGAATTCTCCAAATGAGTTGTTTGTAGACTGGCGGTGTATGATGGCGCACATTTTTTTTGATGATATGTCAGTAAGATTTTTTTTTTATTTCGTTGAACGAGTTGTGCCACTTCCCAAGCCCATCCTGAAAATATTTCGCGATCAGTTGATTGAGTAGATCGACTCTCCGATACACATTTCTGCGTTTCCGTACGACATTCTGTGCAACTGAATAAGCCTGCACCGCCAGTTGATTGTGGGCATGAGCATTGGTTCCAAAGATGAATCAAATGATTTAATAAGTTAGGCCTATAAACGAGTGTTAAAGTAAACCTACCAAGCTCATGAAGCAGTGTGTGTAGTCCCACTTCCCTGAGTGCCCCTTTAAGTTCAGCCAAGATGTCTGCTCCAGCGTAGCCCGCCCTCCATGCAGTGAGCATCTGAAGGGCCTGCTGGTTGATGTGGCCTGGGTGAGCCTCAATGATAGCCTGGCAATCACCGTCATCAAAACTCAGATAAGTCGCGACTGTTGGCCAGGCTTGGTCGAGCGAGTTGGCAACGTTCTCAAGCATCTCGTCATCAAACTCGTCCGAAGCTGCAGGCCAACAAAACCGGTTGGGTGGAAGAGGAAATGTCGAACTGAGTTTTGCACGAGTTTTGTTGTCGTTGTTGTCGTCGTCTTCGTCGTTTTGTTGATAATCTCCGTAAGATATCAATACTTTTCCCGGCTGAATGGGAATTTGCGAACAAAACTGTGATACAGTGAACCAGTCAACGTTTTCCATTTTGTCCTTAAATTAGTGCTGTCTAGCATTATCGGCAAATCTTTATTGGCCAAATTTTGAATGAAGATCATGCAAACAAATCCGTTCTTCGATTTCACTAACTCAATCCAGTCCTGTGATTGGTACCCAAAAATATTTCTTCTCAACTGTTCATCTGAACTGATGACCAACAAAATGTAACGTGACACGCGAGAGGCGGTGTTTTTATTTGCAGCACACATCGTCAATGGATCGTGAATATTCAGCTGTTCGATATTTATTCATAAAAAACAATGACGTCACACCATTGATATCACTCAGTTTTGCATGTACAATAACCCTGAAAAAGCAATACCCTTGCAAAAAAAAGAATTCCCGAATCGAGCTTTTTTCCCTTTTAGCCTCGAGTCTTGCGCATCTTCTGATAGCAAAACATAAAATTCCGATCATAGGTTGTCGCACAGCGAAAAAATTTCGGCGCGGCGAGCCGTGAAAATGTAATTTCCCCATAATGTAGTGTACACAAAGCAGAATAACCATTGTGCACATGAATAATTAATTAGCCGATAATTCCAAAATCCTTTAACAAATTGTCATAAAATGTATTGGGTATGTTCATATTAAGTTGTTTTATGCAGGCACTGAGTTTCATAATAATTTTCGTCATTCAATGGCCGAGATCTGAGGGGGGGGGGGCGGAATCCGGCTGCTGAGGTGTCAAAATAACCTGGCTCCTTTATTTCAAATAACGGCTTTCGTTGAGCTGCCACAGTGGCCAAGGACGGATCCGGGGGGGGCACCAACGGGGTTTATGCCCTTCCCCCCCCCCCCCCCCCAACCAAAAAAAGAACCCATCATTTTTAATGATGTCGCAATAAAGGCAGGCTCTGCGTTCAACGCCATCTTTTCCTCCAAAAAAAATGGTAAAAGTGGTCAGAAATTGCCTCAGATCGCACCACAGAGCATCTAGAATCCAAATTAAAAAGAGAAATTCAGGGGCCATTAAGCTCGCCCCGAACCTCACGCCCTAATTTTTTGGACCCACTTTATGGGGGACCAAAAATGTTTTGCCCCTCCCCCAAGAAAGCAAAAATTGTGTTCTGGATCCGCCCTTGACAGTGGCCTAGGGTAAAGTGGAGTGAACTATGGATCGCAAGATCTGAGGTTCGAAAACCACCTAGGTCCCTATGTCTATTTTCAAACCAATGTTTGTGTTGGTTGGGATCAGTGGCGTAGCAAGGAATTTTTCTGTGGGGGGGGGGGTGGGGGGGCCGCTGGGGGGGCCGCTGGGGGGGCCGCTGGGGGGGCTGGAACATTTCAAGGGGGGCGTCATGTAGATCAATTATATATTTTTTAGAAAATCTCAGTGGGGGGCGACTGGGGGGCGACAAGGTTTCATAGGGGGATGGCGCCCCCACGGCCCCCCCCCCCCCCCCCTTGGCTACGCCACTGATTGGGATAATCAGGTGCGGTTCTACGGGGGGCTAGGGGTGGGGGACTTTTGTCCAAACTCTTGTTAACACACTTATGTGATGGCAACATTTACAATGAAAATCTTCTGCGATTTAGACTTAAACACAAGCAAAAGCACACAGTCCCAATGGGCGATATAATAATACCTTCACGGTAGCAGAGAAGCACAAGCATGATATACATTAAGGACAGAATAGTTACACTTTACCTTGTTTGGCCATGGTGTGGGCCCTCGGGTATATTTCCTCAACGGATGAACATCAGCATCACATCATGCATTTGGCCCACCATGCATTTGACACTGAGCTTTTGCGTTGTTACGTGGGGTTTTTTTGTAGGGAATTTCCATGAGGTTATTTTTAGTTTCGCTACCAATTCCACCCTCGCGTCAACAATCGCCCAATGTCCTAGTCTGGTTCCCAGACCTAACAATTATTCCCGACGCTCAAATTGTAGGTTAGGCAGCCTCCGTGGCAGCCTCGACTCCAGGGGCGCGTGCTCGTTCCTTACACTAACGATCGCGCAAGGCATGATGGAAAAAAACACAGCGCTGCAAGATCGTACCCACGGGGCACGAGGTTGCCTCCGTGGCTAAAATTAAACATGACGACATTGATGGCCCTTTTTCAAAGCTCGGCTTCGTTTCCGATTTCGCTTTATCACTTTTAGCTTTTAATGTTTTGATCAATTTTTTTAAATAAATCACTTGCTTCGTAATATCATACAGTTATGAAAATACAGTTTGATGTTTATGTAAGATAACATTGACTAATGTTTATCTGGAATCTTCAAAATTATGCACCCAAATAGCACTGTTAGCAGGCGTAGCCGAATGAAGACCGAGTTTTGGAAAATCTCGGTAACGGTCGTCAAATTCAAAATTGTACATGACGCAGCAAAAAGTTCGCTCATACGATCCCAGTATATTTGACGTACAAAATCATCGTTGAATTTCAAGTTTTCTAAATGAATTTCAAGTTTTCTAAATGAAAGCAAATATTAATTATTAAAGTTTTTGATAAGCAATTAGCAGTTAATTAAACCTATATTATACTCGGAAATACTCGGGCGCTATCCGATTGTCGACAAAACGAATTCGGCAAACTTCGGAAATTTTCGGAAAAAGGAGGAATTCCTCTCTTTTTAGTCACTTGACGTAAATTATAATACAATGTATTACCGGAGGCTACCTGACCTAAGATTCATCAGGAATTGTCAGAATCTTTTAGTTTGTGAACCAGAAAAGTCAGAATCTTTTGGTCTGGGAACCAGACTACCAATGTCCAAGGCTTTCAACGGCTTGAGACTGAGGGCGCTCTTTGATCTGAGCTCTGTACGCACTGCGGTTGCTTGTATCTGCAATCATCAATACCTGGAGGGAGGATCGAGAGACATCAAGTGCGTAGGAGGGGCCGTGACGTGAATAGGTCTAATTTGTAGGGGCACACCCCGACTGGCCAATGGTAATTATTTACAAAATGGGACGTATCTCAAAATTCCCTGAATGACGTCATCACTCAGTATTGCAAGTCTTGAATGGCCTTTGGTTGTTCCACGTATTGACTGCATGGCCTTATCCAACGGCCCTCCCCTCGAGAATAATCTTGGCCTTCAACACCCCAGTCACCTCCTTTTGCAAAATCCCTGATTTCACACTGCTCGGTGGGTCTTAATAAGAAAACCATTTTATTTCAATTCGACATAAATATAATAATCGTTAAGAAATTAGATTTTTTTTTCGTGGCAACGTCAGCGAATAGCATTCACATTCATGCAAGATATCTTTATCTCAACTAACACCGAATTTATTCATTTAAAGAAACAGCGTTACATTTGAATGTTGAATACATATACTTTTGAATCATGGGCGACGACCCGGGGGCACAAAGGTCCCCCCCCCCCCCTTCCTCAATAAATAATTTAGCTATGAGCAAATAAATTTGTTATCAAAGCTATCTGGGTTTTTTTCACGATATTATCCTTGCAATGCTGTTTGTTGCACTTTAATTGGACATTTCGTTGACAAGTTATTGCTATTTAAAGTTCGCATTTATCGACACATTAAACAGATAAATACTGGGAAAATTAAAGTTTCGATTGTTTTGTAGTAGTGAATATGAAATATGCCTGTTTTTCCTTTAAAATAGTTTATTCCAGGATTTTTATAGTATTTCTTAAGATTATGTGTACTGGACATGTTAAAGACTATTTATATATCAATAAATCTGAAATCGCGAGAAAAAAATATCACTTTTTATTTTGGGTTTTTTCCTCCACATTTTATGTACATGAAAAATATACAGCCTGTGCCAATTCCGTCTCATTTTGCCAGAACGCCTAATGCTGTCTAAAAGGTATCTGCAATCAAATTACTCGAATTTTATTTAAAGGGCCCATGTAATAATGTTTCCATGGGAACATATTCTGTGCAATTTTCTACTCCTCTTAAAATGTTTGAAAACAACTTCACATCATTTTTTTCGTTAATCTTATTGAAAAGGGCATTTCTTTAAAACATTTTTAACAATTCCATGTTTTTTCGACAATTGAGGGCACTGTTGCTGTGATGTCATTTCAGGGAGACACTGCCAGTCTAGGGATTTTCTGTTCAAATTGTGAACCCAAAATTTGGTCACTAAAAACATGTCCTAAAAAATTTGTTCATTGGCATGTCATGTACTGAAACAAAATCAAATCAACAAAGCAAAGAAATGAACGCCATAATATCCATTCTGGCAAATATTTGTGCTGAAATTGTATTGAGGTTTCTGCCTGAAATGACATCACACATTTGCTCATGAATATGCAATTTTCATTAGCATAAAACCAAAAAATGGCACCCTGTAAATTAGAAATAAGGTTTGTCCCTAAATCTTTCAGCTGTTAACTATACTAATAAATTTATTTAACATTTCTAATCATTATTTCGATTCACCACATTCTGCTGACTAATTCTCCTTATTTGGCGCTAAAATGAATACCACCCTTGATTTTCAAGATTGAAGGCGATGAGAATGTTGAATTACAATTAACAGTAAGAATTAAATTAAAGCTTAAAATGAATAAGCATCGAATAAAGGAGCTTTCCCTGACTGAAACTTGAATAGACCGACATTATAAGAATTCGAACTCCCTCACTGCAGCTTTTGAGCAATAACGTCGTCATGAATTCACAGGTGCATCTTGGTCCACCCGTTCCATCAGTGGTGATGCCTGCTACTTCTTGGAACACTTGATGGACTGCGTGTCGTCGCTTTCACCGGGACCAGTAGTGCAGGAGACCGAGGACTCATCGCCTTTTGCCCCGCATCTCTGCATGTCTGACATTTTTTTTTTTTAGTCCCACGATTTTACCTTGGTGATATGTATGTGACCTATTTTCGAGTAGTACAATGGGGGTGTAAGTGGCGTCACCAACGTCAAAATAGTCCGCCCCCGAAAAAAACGCCAATTTTTTTTCTGCGGCCAAAAATTTTGGGCCCCCCCCAAAAAAAAAAAAATCGGGTGCGCCACTGCTTCGTCAGGTTGGACCGTCACATTGAGTGCGTATTTGAGGCACAGCGCCAAGGCCAAATTGATATCAGTATTTACTGTACATTTTTACTATATTTATTTATAACAATAACTCCTTTTCTGTTTTCATACAGACACATGCACGGAGAGAGCAGTACGGTGTAACATACTTAGTGAGCTGTTGCGAAATACAACAACGCCCATAGCTCTAGTAATATTTAACTACATGTATTTGTCATTACATTTAACGGACAAAGGATTTCTCATTATTCATTATCAGGGACAGCCCCATCGTTTGTTTGTTTGTTTGTTTTATTTCCATTCATACTTCAAACATACAATGAATAAAGATTAATGATCGAAACAAAGTGTATCAAAATAGAAAAAGCAGAACAATACAGCATGAATGGGGGTGGCATCCAGAGAAGGACTGGCCTTCTGTAGTGGAGCACCCGAGACAGCGGTCAAAGTAAACTACATGTATTTGGAATAATGCAAACAATGAGATCCCAGGTAGAGTTTATAAATGTAGTAAGTTCGAACATAAAGTGAGCACATACAAAAACATAAAAGTCGTATACATCAAGGAGAAAAAAATAGGGAAAAAAGGAATTAACGTCTTGCTGAATGTAGGCACGAGTAGCAGTTAAGATTTGTACAAACAAAATCATTGTACTTATTTAAATAGAATTCCTTGAGGTGTTCAACAAAAAGCTTTTTGGATGAACTGACCAGAAGAAGTCTAAGTTGATCAGGAAGACCATTAACAATTCGAGGCAAAATATTACGGTAATTAGCTGATGTTATGTCCAGTCTAAATGTACTACTACAATGAATACAATTACTTTGTCTTGTAGAATAATGGTACAAGTCCTGGTTTAGTGGGAAAAAAGACTGATGGCTTAAATTCTCAGGAAGTAGTTTATGAAAGTAATCGTAATAATGAGTAACAATGTGTACATTAAATACATCACCAAACTTAAGAATTCTAAATTTATTACAAAGTGGAGTGGTATGCGCATTGTATTTAGCATGACAGGCATTTCTTATACATTTCTTTTGTAGTGTTACAAGTCTGCTAAAAAAAGAAGGATAAACCTTATACATACCACCCCAAGCCAAGACTCCATAATTTAAATAAGAATTAACCAATGTATTATAAATAGACAAACTGTCTTTAATCCTCAACAAATTCTTAGTTCTATTAAGGATGTAGTTAACTTTGGAAATCTTATTACATATTGAGGAGATTTGTTCCTTCCAAAGCATGTTTTTGTCCGTTTCCAGTCCTAAGAACCTGGTACAAGAAACCTTATTAAGAATACTATTTTCTAAACGTAAAGTCACGTTAGGCAAAAATATTTCCTTTTGCTTAGAAGAGTAGCAAATATAAAAAAGTTTTATCGGGATGAACCATTAACCTATTGGCTCTAAACCAATCTTGAATAACCAATAAGTCTGTATTAACATCAGTGGCTAAAGTTAATAAATCTGTACCAGAGGCAAAAAGAGTAGTATCGTCAGCAAATAATACAGGTTTTAGCAGCGTGCAACAAAGGGGCAAATCATTTATATAAATCAAGAATAATAAAGGTCCAAGATTTGACCCTTGTGGAACTCCACAATTAATTTCTTGAGGAGTAGATTCAACTCCATCTATAACTACATACTGCCTACGCTTCTCAAGGTAGCTAGAAAACCAGCCAAGTGAAACACCCCTTATACCATAATAATACAATTTATTAATTAATAAATCATGACTCACTGTGTCGAAAGCTTTCTTCAAGTCTAAGAAGATACCTAAAGAAAAGTCTGAGGGGTCTTTATTAAGAGCATCAGATAAATTATTACAGAAATCAAGCATGGCATGAACAGTGCTTCTACCAGAACGAAATCCATATTGATAAGGCGAAAATACATTACTAGATTCAAGAAATGACAATACTCTTTTATACATTAATTTTTCAAGGACCTTAGAGCAGACATTCAAGAAAGAAATAGGCCGATAATTACCCGGGTCTTGAACGTCACCTTTTTAAAACACAGGTACAACTTTAGCAATTTTATACAAATCAGGAAAAACTCCTTGTATAAATGAAGCATAAAATATATCGGCTAAAGGGGAAGAAATTAAATCAATAAATTCCTTTAAAATACGATTACTAATTTCATCTGGCCCAGAACTACTCTTATTTTTAAATTTCTGTACAACCCCAATAATTTCAACACAATCTGTAGGATTTAAAAATAATGTGTTGCTGGGAGAGGTAGCAGAATTAACATAGTGACTCGACTCCTTGTTGGATTTTGGCACTGCTTGGCAAGTTGATTTTCCTACAGAACAAAAATGATTATTAAGTGCTTCTGCAATGTCTTTAGCATCAGTAATTAACTTATTATCCATAATAATACTACTTATACAACCTAAAGAGGATTTGGAGGAACTGTGTTTAATCATAGAATTAAGAACTCTCCATGTTTCTCTAGCATTGCCTTTTAAATCATTCAGTTTATTATGATAATAAGTTGTTTTGGCAATACGCTTCAGCTTATTAAATAAATTATTATATTTTTTATAAAAGGCAAGCTTAGTCGAGCTTTTGTTCCTATTAACATAATACTTTTGTTTGTTATAGCAAGAGTTCAAGAGACCAGAAGTCATCCAAGGAGATCTGAAGGTGTGGCGACTGGTAGTTTTTAGTTGAACTGGGGGAAATGAAAAATCAAATGCCGAGCTCCAAATATCATTAAAAGTAGATAACTTCTGGTCAGGACCCTCGGACTCAAAAACTTGTGACCAATTAGCTGTTGAGAGAAGCCCACGAAAAGCTTGGCAATTAGATGAATTAAATTTTCTTATGGTACGTTTCGTAACCGGAGCAGTTCGCTGGCCAGTACCCTTTTCAAAGGAATATAAGGAAATAAAATGATCTGAGAGGTCACTTTTTAAAATAAAAGAGGCTGCAGCTGTATCTACCCTATTCGTGAAAATATTATCGATCAGGGTGTGAGAATTCGAATTTGTGTCAATCCGAGTAGGCCTGAGAATCAGAGGAACATAATTATCAGCAAAAAGGCTGTCTATAAATTCACTCACAAAATGCCCATAGGAGGACTGACAACCATATTGTAACAGGTTAATATTAATGTCTCCTAAAATATAACAGGTTTTAACCTTAGAATGTTTCACTTGAAGAACAAAATTTTTAAGAAAATTTCTAAACGCGTCCAATTCAGCCAGGGATACTCCTGGAGGCCTATACAATGAGCATACAAAAACTATCCTTAGTGGCTGGATTAATTTCTGCAACAATAAGTTCGACTTGAGTAGAGAAGTACGACAAATCTTCTCGAACAATAAAATTAAATTTATTATCAATAAATAATGCAACACCACCTCCCTTTCTGTCACTACAATGCTTCTCGCATAAACTTAAAGGATAATAACCAGGGAGATCATCAAAATCATTGCAATTAACATCATTAAGATATGTTTCTGATAAAGCAATAAAATTATTTTTTTTCTTCTGACTCAAAAAATGCAAGTGGGTCTTAAAATCATCCCACTTGCTTGGGAGGCTAACAATATTAAGGTGCATAAAAATAATAGGATCAGTGAACTTGTCAATATGAGTGTTGAAATCTTGAAAGGAAACATAAGGACTAGATATTGTGTGATAATCTGTCTTGTAAGGAGAGGGTACAGAAAAACATGGCAAACATGGCATCGTGAGACATGGCAAACCGAGAGGCGGTATGCTATCTGTATGCCGCTATCCAATCCGATTAGACTTCAAGTTGTGCTCTCGGTGCTCTTCAACAAATTCCTTTTTTTTTCTACTAATACATTTTCAACTTGTATTTTTCATTCCAAAAAAAAGAAAAAAAGGCCCGCTTTGGGAGCAGACTGGCTCCCTTTCCGTAAATTATCGATACTGATTGTGAGGCGGGAACCAGCCTTCCCTGCGAAAATGAAATTCAATTCAATTCAATTCAATTCAAGGGTTTTATTATCGATTCGTCGCAGCCCAAAGGCTAAATTGTGAATGATTTGCAATAAGCACAAATATAACAAAACATTTGAATTACTCCATATACCAAAAAATTAATCGTCATAACGAATTAATAGCTATCAAATAAGACTCTAGAATAAATGAATAAGATGTCAAATAGAATAGCAATATATATAAGGACAATAAAGAATATATATTTTATCTTCTGAGTAAACAATAAAGCAACATTCATGCTGTTGAATGTTTTAATAACCTCAATTGAAAATAGAAATTTCGATTTGTATGTTATTATAACAAATTTTCATACCCACATTCACGTATTACCAAGAAATTGTTTGCGGAAATTTGGAACTATTGTCTGACAGCCGATAATTAGAAATTGTATAGTAATAATTCAATAACTAAACATGGGCTGGTTATTTTTCAGTCGATGTCTCATTCAAAAGTGAATAACTTCTGTGCTGCAAGAAAAATAGCACTTTAAAGAAAAAAATCATTTTTGGGGAAAAAATCGAAAATAGCAACTCTGCTTTTATCCAGTCTCCTTCGCAAGAGTTAAATGGAGTACAGTATTCCATAAACATTCATTTTACGGCGGGGAATATATATTTTTATATAGTCTTCACTATTTTGAAACTGTCTGGTACATGCAACTGTTGTTCGTCACGTAACTCCCATCCGTCTAAGCCTACTTCTTCATATTACACATGACGGACTGGGACTCGCCGCTCTTTCCCGGGCGAGTCATGCAGGCTACCCCGTCTGAAGTCCCCTTCGCCCCGCTGCTCTGCATCTTGGCAATCACCGAGCTTGACGCCACAGGCCCTTGGGTGACATCATCCTGGCACCCACGGAACCCTTCTCCACCCCGCCTGGCTTGAAGCCCAGAGCACTGGGCTGCACGCTCCTCGATACTTCGCCTGAACGACCGGACTGTGCACCACCTTTCCAATTAAAGACATATTGGTGAGGTTGTTTAGTGCAAGTCCTGTGAAGCAAGACTAGTGCAGAAATTATGTGATTTACCCTGCAAAGCACTAAGTCCTTATTTTCGGGATGTACGAATGCTCTCAAGCCGAAGTTCCTTACTAAACCGTGAATTTTCTAGTCTAGCCAGGGGCGTGGCTTACAGTCAGATGGCGCTAAGCCCCCCTCCCACCAATAAAATAAAGGCCAAGGGCCAGAAAAAAATTAGACCCCCCCCCACCCCCCCCCCCCCCCCCCCCAAGTAATACTTTGACAATAATATTGCCAAGGAAAATTTGGTCCATAGCCTTGTATGGCTAATTCCATGAAACTTTAGAAGTTAGAAGCACGTCGCCTGAAATGAAAAGATTGCCACTGACATTTGAAAAGCGATCATTCATTAACCGTAGAGTGAACTGTAGGCATATACATGTACTGTACATGTATACAGCACCACGTACAGAGATAAGGAGAAGGGGGGTAATTAATGCAGGACCTAGATCTGGGGAAGAGGGCACTCGTTTCTGGCTATAGAGGTTAAATAAGCCTATCTGAAAGACCTTTGGCTCCTTGACTCTGTAGCTGTGCCACCTTCGAACCGGATTTCACCGATCCTTGACAGGACATCATATTTGCTGTGACGGATCCCTTTGCTACTCCGCCGGACTTGAAGCCTAGTGCGCCAGGCTTGACGCATTGTGAACCGCCGCCTGAGCCACGGGACCTCGCACCACCACCACCCTTGGAAGGCATATTCACGAGACTGCAAGAAAAAGTCCAGGCATAACAGGTGTTTGTAAATATACTGAACATGTCGATCACTGATTGGCTCTAATTACCTGAATCACACGTTGCGTTTTGAATTTAGATCTATAAAATTCTGACTCCCTGGTCGTGTTGCGCATGCCTACGTGAGGATTGTGAACGTTCAACCAATGAAACGATAAGAAGCACTTGATTTTTAGGAGTCCACATTTTATTGTGACACTTGAAAAGTGTTTAAAAGCTATAGTCAATCATTTGCAGCTAGCCATGTCTTTATCATCCGTTTAAGACCGGCCACGTGACGGGCTCTCGACCAATAGGAATGCGTAACTGTCTTAGGTATTTATGAATTCAAGTTCAATTTTACTCTGTAATTATTTTAATTGCTTTATCTAACGTTAGCACTACAAAAATCATTGAAGGAATTGCTTTACAAATTTAGAGTTATTTGCGGCTGTACGATAATTCAGGCATATGTTTTGGTACATAATTGGAGCAAAAGCAATATCAAAGATTGTCCTTGAGTTGGCCGCCAAAAAAATCTCGTAGTGACTTGGCTTTACTAATTAGGCAGACACGTCCGTGCTGCCTTCAAATATTTTCCTGAGCAAAAACAAAATTTAAAGTGTTGGCAGAAACAACTTTATAATTATAATCATCATTAATATACAATTAATGATAATTATTGGACAATGAACTTTTTTTTTTAAAGACACCACGTAACAGTTAACGTGTACCTTTGAAAGCAAGAAACAAAACAAAACGAAAATCTTTGAAATGGTACAAATGGGCTTACCCGGGTAAGTCGGCAGGCGATGAAGTCTCCGAAAATTTAAATTTAATTTGTACAAGCAATGTTATAATTATTGTCGTGAATATTCAGTCGACACAACTTTGAAAGCGAAGCATAAATAGTCTATTCCAATTATTATAACACTAGACAACAACATTGCACGCACAGGGGATTCCCGGTCTGATCCCCGGATGAGAAATTGGATGAGTCATGCAGACAAATATCTTTATCTGCGCATGTGCAGTCTTGGTTAGACAGGTGGAGACCTGACCTCATACATGAACATGTATGTGAGGCAACTAAATCCCTCCAATTTTTTGTATCTATTGCTTGCTGTGTCCACCATGACACCACCTTCCCTGTTGATTGGCCTAGTTCTCAAGTATAATGCATGTCTATAAATCTTTCTTTGTCAACTTCTAAGCAAATATAAAAAAAATTAATGTTTTCAAAAGTTATTAATACTTGAATACCTTGGAGAGTTGATGGTTTCTGATTGGTCGAGACTCGATCACGTGGCCGGGCATATAACGGTGATAATGGACCGGTGTCACATGAAAATCCGACTCCTATGAAAATTGGACCCCTATTTCCCTATGGCCAAAAAAAAAGTCTCCGGTTTCTGGTATGCGCGCGCGTCGCCGTAGACATGCGCGTCGGCAAAATGAAAAAGTTTTTTTTTCAAAGAAAGATGATGTCTCAAAACCGCCAAACTCACTGGTTTGACTGGAATCCTGCTGCTGCACAATTTTAACGTGTTTTTAGATGGGGTTATGATCGAGAATAAGCTTTATGTGGCCTCTCTGGACTCCCATATATTTTCACTAAGTTTAGTCGGGCACCATTTGCAGTCATCAGCCGACATTTGAAGCAAAAAAGTCAGGTAAAAAAAAAAAAAAGCCGCGTCGCCGCACCACTTTTTGGACAAGCTCCATACCAGAAACCGGAAACTTTTTTGGGGGGGCCTATTATTGGTTGATCCCTCGCACGTGACAGGTCACTCTCCCGAAACGATCCTAAAAATAGCATAGTATCGTACTCACGCGTGCGCAGTACTACCAATGAGTCCACATTTCATGGAGTCGGATATTCACGCTACACCGGCTTCAAAGATCAAGCGAATAAATGGCCCCTGAACCAGCATTGATCAAGCCCCGTTCAGCCCCATGCAAGCCAGTGATTGGTCAAAATATAGTAACAGTCCTGCGGTAGCTTGTAACAATAGAGTACTGCACATGCACTCAACCCCCATCGCGTGAGACTGACGCGCGCGTACGCAACACAGTTGCTAGGGATGCGTGCGTGCGCACGCGTAAGGAAGTTTTGAAACGACATCGTACAGCAGTGCAGAACATACTGAGGATGTTTACGACGAAAGCGTAGATCTACGATTTATTTTCTTTGAACACTTCACCCACACGCAGTGAAGACCGGCTCCTCACACTGTTATTCCCTTAATAACTGTTGAAAATACTAAATAACCACCAAAATAATGATGGTGTTAAATAATGCACTTGTGCAAAATCTGTTTCTGCCCATTCCTTTATAGACTAACCCCGTTCACTGAAGCTAACCGCGTTCACAAAAGCATGGTTTTCATGTTGTATTTTGTTTTTTAACATTTGAATTTTTTGTATCTATTTTCGAGAGGATTGAAGTATTTCCCCTTTTTCTTTCTCTAGTTTGAAAGAATAGGAGTTCACTCTAGTAAACGTCGATTCCAAATGATTAGTTTTTTATTCACATTTTCCAGCAAAAACGTGTTCTTCATATGATCGTTCTGCGTTTAAAATACAAGTCATGTAGGCCTATAATGTATACAATGTAGTATAATGAATACACCCTCATTATCATGCTTTAACGGATTGTTCTGTTCCAGAGTTGACCTTTTTATCAGCGCCTAAAAGGCATGAACCTAAATGCACATCAACAGTTGCGAATGTGACGCATTATGGGAAACGCATGTTTTTATTGGAACCATCAATTCCTGTCGAATGATCTTGAATGTCGCTTTGGGGCCACTATACAACCATTCATATTGGATGTATGGATGTAAAAGATCCGTACGTCACATTCGTGTTTGCAGGCTGAGAGTTGAAAAATCAATTGAAAGAAATAAAAGGGTGCATAAATGAACGATACTGTTCTCCCGCAAAATCAGCCTACTTCGTTGTAATCCCCTCCCATAGTTGCAAGTAGTGTAGCTCTTAAACATGAGGCAAACCCTTGACATGTCATCAATTTTAGCCAAGAACACATGATTTGTATTTGCACGCTCTTACTATGTATCTATTAAATTATACCAAGGGTGGATCCAGAACACAATTTTTGGGGGGCCCAAAAAAAAAAAAGTCCCAAAAAGTGTGTTCCAAAAAATTACGGAGTGGGGTTCGGGGCCCGCTTATTAAAATGCCCCGAATTTTTTTTGGATTCTAGATGCTCTGTGGTGCGATCTGAGGTAATTTCTGACCACTTTAACCGATGTTTTTTTAGGAAAAGATGGTGGTGTACTCATTGCCATGCCTTTATTGCGATGTCACTAAAAAAAATTGGATTTTTTTTTTGGGGGGGGGGGCATGGCCCCCTTTGCCCCCCCCCCCCCCCGATCCGCACTTGAATTATACATGTATACTTGGTTCAGGTTTTGATGCAGGTTTAAAGTGATTTGAGGTCAAATATTGGTTTTATTAAACACCTATAAAAACATGCTTGTTTTTCACTTTTTGATATAGCCCCACCTGTATTAATGGGAGTATGCTGACTAAATGTTGCAGAATACTTGCCAAAGCGAACTTGCAAAACATGAATACATTATCATAGCTTAAAGGGTGCACAAAAAAAGAGGAAAGCTATATGAAAATTGTGTGAAGTTCTATTGCGCATCTAAAAGCAGTTACATGAGAATGCTTTAATTATTCAAATATATGCTGTTGAATTTGAGTAGATCACATTAATGTCCAATGGACTGCAAGATGCCGGTTACTCTTTCAGCGTTGTTTACTTGTCGGTTGCACCCTTGCTTTGCATCTTTGCCACGGGCGAGTCGGCGCTCACGTCTCCCTCATGTGACATCATTTTTGATGCAGGGGAATTCTTCTCCACCCCTCCACTTCCGAAGCCCAACTCGCCAGGCTTGATGGGTTCTTGCGCCTGCATCTTGGAGACCGGACTGTCTGCTTTGACGTTCCCCTCGTGAGACATCGCAGCTGTACCAGGCGATCCCGCCTCCACGCCCTCTTTCTTAAATCCCAAGCCCTCTTGCTCTGATTTCGTGGTCATCTATAAACAGATTATTATTATTATTATTATTATTATTTATTCGGCCAACAAATGAACAAAAGTACAATGACAAAGCAAATATAAATCAGAAAGTAATCAAAAAATAGAAATTGAAAAGTATGACAAGACAAGACTAAGGACTGATGCGAGTAGGAATGGGTTGGAAGGGGGGGGGAGAGGGAGGGAAGGGAGGGTGGACAGTTTGACAGGGGAGAGGAGATAGAGGGACGGAAAACAAGAACAAAATAACATTTCAAACCGGCCAGGGTAAACAAAAGTGTACTTAAACACTGTAGCCCTAAGGCCTGCCTACCCAAGCTCGAAATGTCTACACAGAAAATAAATAGAATACTATGCAAATAATAGTATGAATGCAGATGAATTGAACATGCAAACACAATGTGAATGTCTAAAAGAGGCACACAGTCAACTCGCATTTCACTGGCGGCGGAGGCATTTTGACTTTTTATATGATGAGTTTCGGTGGATTCACCAAACACATTTCGATAAATTTACATTTGCACAGCATCCCAACATGTCGCTACATAAGCCACTATGGTAACAACGCATTCGTTGAAAATTTAATTGTTATCAAATTTACCGTCACGATTTTCAATCGACAAGAATTTTGTGGCGACTCTCTAAGAGTATACGTGCCAGGCGACAGGTGTAAAGTAATATTCAAAATTTGTCGAAAGCCCTTTTTAAGAAATGAAGTGATCTTACCTTCGTTTCAGGCTGAATTGATCAATGTATTAAGGTTGAAAGTATAGAACCACTCCAATGATTCAGACGTCAAAATTACGGACTGAAATTACGAGTGGGATTCATGCAGTTTATAGGAGATCGCTCGTAGATATTGCCCCATCCATGAACGCTGGTAACCACGCCCCTTTGAGCTCCAATTGGATAGAATT